CATATCTCCCTTATTAAGGCCTGTTTCCTACTGTTCTTCCCTTCAGGTTATTTCTTTTCCTTTACCTCCCTGTTTCCTTTCCATCGTCCTGGTTCCTGTAGTTATGTCTGGTTGCATACTTATTTATCGGAGTCTGGTTCTAGGATCCACATATGAGGGAGAACATACATCGATTTTTTTTCTGAGTCTGTGTTACTTCATTTAGTATAACAGTTTCTATTTCCATCTATTTACTTGCAAATTTCATGATTTCATCTTTCTTTACTGCTGAGTAAAACTCCATTGTATAAATGAACACCATTTTCATTATCCACTCTTCAGTTGAGGGATACTTAGGTTGCTTCCAACTCTTAGCTTTTGTGAAAATAGCAGCAACAAACATGGTTGTACAAGTATCTCTGAAATAGGATGAGTCCTTTGGGTATATGCCAAGGAGCAGTATAACCGGGTCATATGGTAGGTTCACTTTTAGTTTTTTAAGAGTTCTCCACGCTGTTTTCCATAGAGGCTGCACGAGTTTGCAATCCCACCAGCAGTGAATGAGCATTCTTCTTTCTTCACATCCTCTCCAGCATTTGGTATCATTTGTTCTCTTGATCCTAACCAGTCTGATTAGGGTAAGGTGGTACCTTAGGGTGGTTGTAATTTACATTTCCCTAATTACTAACGATGTTGAACACCTTTTGAGCTGTTTCTTAGCCATCTTTATTTCTTCCTTTGAGACCTCTTTGTTTAGATCTTTAGCCCATCTTTTAATTGGGTCATTTGGTTTCTCGCTTCTTTGTTTTTTGAGTTCTTTGTATATTCTGGATGTTAAACCTCTGCCAGTTGTGTCACTGGTAAAGATTTTTTTTCCCATTCTGTGGTTTTCTCTTCACTTTTTTGATTGTTCCTTTGCTGTACAGAAGCTTTTTAGTTTGATGAGGTCCCACTTGTTGATTGCTGACCTTAATTCCTGAGCAACTGATATCCGATTTAGAAAATCCTTTTCTACTCCTCTATCTTGTAAGTTACTGCCAATATTTTCTTCTGTTTTAGAGTTTCAGGTTTCACATTGAGGTCTTTGATCCATTTGGAGTTGACTTTTGTGCAAGGTGAAAGATAAGGATCCAGCACCATTTGTTGAAGATGCTATCTTTCCTCCATTGTGTGTTCTTGGCACCTTTGTCTAACATCATGTAGCTGAAATTGCATGTACTTGGGTTTGGACCCTCACTAATGCTCCACTGGTCTATGTGTCTATTTTTGTGCAGTACCATGCTGTTTTTATGACTATAGCTTTGTAGTATACTTTGAGGTCTGTTATAGTAATCCCACCAGTGTTGCTCTTTGTGCTCAGGGTTGCTTTGGCTATCCAGGGTCTTTTGTGCTTCCATACGAATTTAAGGATGGTTTTTTCTAATTCTGTGAAGTATGTCATGGGGATTTTGATTGGGATTGCGTTGAATCTATATATTGCTTTTGGTAGGATGGTTATTTTCCCAATATTAATTCTTCCAATCTGTGAGCATGGGAGCTCCTTCCATCTCCTGGTGTCTTCCTCAATCTCTTTCTTTAATGATTTAAAATTTTCATTGTAAAGACATTTGATCAGATTGATTCCAAGATATTTTA